TTAGACCACAATGTCATTATCGTTGTAAGTCTTAGACCACGATATCACTGTTTTAAATCTTAGACCAAAATGTCATTATCGTTGTAAATCTTAGACCACAACGTCATTGTTTTAAATCTTAGACCACAACGTCATTATTGTTTTAAATCATAGACCAAAATATCATCGTTTTAAATCATAGACCACGATATCATTGTTTTAAATCTTAGACCACGATGTCATTATTTTAAATCTTGGACCACGTCATTATTGTTTTAAATCATAGACCACAATATCATCATTTTAAATCTTAGACCACAATGTCATTATCGTTGTAAATCTTAGACCACGATGTAATTATAGTTTTAAATCTTAGACCACAACGTCATTGTTTTAAATCTTAGACCACGATGTCATTATTTTAAATCTTGGACCATGTCATTATTGTTTTAAATCATAGACCACAATATCATCGTTTTAAATCTTAGACCACAATGTCATTGTTTTAAATCTTAGACCATGACGTCATTATTGTCTTAAATCATAGATCACAATATCATTGTTTTAAATCTTAGACCACAATGTCATTGTTTTAAATCTTAGACCACGATGTCATTGTTTTAAATCTTAGACCACAATGTCATTGTTTTAAATCTTGGACCACAATGTCATTGTTTTAAATCTTAGACCACGATGTCATTGTTTTAAATCTTGGACCACGTCATTATTGTTTTAAATCATAGACCACAATGTCATTGTTTTAAATCTTAGACCACGACGTCATTATTGTCTTAAATCATAGATCACAATATCATTGTTTTAAATCTTAGACCACGATGTCATTGTTTTAAATCTTGGACCACAATGTCATTGTTTTAAATCTTGGACCACAATGTCATTGTTTTAAATCTTAGACCACGACGTCATTATTTTAAATCTTGGACCACGTCATTATTGTTTTAAATCATAGACCACAATATCATTGTTTTAAATCTTAGACCACAATGTCATTGTTTTAAATCTTAG